GGGTTTAGGGTTTTTTGTTTGGAGCGGCCGGCTTATATAAGGGCGCCGTTACGTGATCTGGAACGAGAGGTAAGGGAACATCTTGTGACAGAAGGTCCTCGACAGTTAGAGCGGGACATGGGGATGGTGGTGTATCTTCGCGATACCGGATGATATTCTAATGTGTCAGACATTTTTGTTCTCATGTTTCACGGCATTGGGGTTTAGGGTTCGACAAGGCCCGAAACCCGACCTTTGCCTAGCCAGCCCAGGTACCTATACAGTGGGTTAATTATTGGGCATGTGTACTCTAATTGGTTTCCGGGTTCGAGGCACTGTAACCCCCGTGCAATGAAACTCAACATGTTCGCATAACAAATAATAAGTGGGGTTGCAGGGCTCATCATGGAGCCAACGTAAAGCGCCCATAGGAACTGTCAAAGGAGGTCCGCGTAAACTTGAAACCCCCATCGAATGCAAGCTAAACGCCACGGGCCGGGTTCCAGTGCGCCGGATTTACCTTTGGGAGATCTTGCCCGTGCTCCTGCTGTGGCGTTTGCTCCTGCTCCTCCTGCGTCTCTTGCTCTTTCTCGTGCGCTTGCTCTTGCCCCAGCTCCTGCTGTTGCCCTTGCTGCTGCCGCTCTTGCTCTTGGTCCTGAACCCTCGAATCCAAATTTGCTTCAAAAGCCTGTGATGATTTCACGAAAGTTTTCTAGAAGACGTTGCTATTATTAGGGCGTGTTTAGCTAAAGGGGGAATTACCGTGGTTTCGTCTGCAGTCCCCCCCCCCCCCCCCGCATCTTCGATTACTTGTTCCTGTGACTGTTGGCGCTGTGCAGGAATCGCAGATCCGCATATGCTAAAAGCTCCGGCATGTTGAATCGTCGCCGTGAGGTCAAGAACCCGGAACGGCAGTTGCGAGGATTGCAGGCCCACTAAATCTCTGCAACGTCGGCATTCTCGAGACGGCGTGACATCGAGGCCCAAAACCGGCGACTACCATATCGTGGGCATACCATATAGGGGCCGCTGGTGCGACGACGAGGCACCAAAAACAGGTAGCTGGATCTCTGGGGTGAAATCGAAGTGTGGCCACCAGGGTTACCGGGGCGACAGTGACGACGACGACAAAGAAGAGGAGGAGTCTTCACATCATGGTATATAGCCTCTCTGCTAGTACTCATCGTGTGTAACAGATGGCTTGTAATTTGAGAAGGATTGTCGAGAACACGAGTAGTCGTGCATCTCCAGCAAACATCCGGGCAAGTAGCAATGCTTGGCCTAAGAATCTATGCCATTGGTTGCTATACCTTTCATGCCATCACGTGCGGCATGTTGGCCATGCAGGACATGATGCAGAACAATGACATTAGAAAAGCTGGCTCTGATGAAGCCAAAAACTAGTAACATGCCGCAGTCACTGTCATCCTAAGCCGCTACTGGTACACTCTAAAGTTCGAAACTCTAACCCCCGAGCCCTAAAAGAGCAAGTCCAAAGCCATCATCGCCACAGTGTAGCCCGGCTGGACCAAGTTGACGCACCGGAAGGCTGTATGACAGAAAGTGGCAACAACAAACACAGTATCCACGCTGGGGCGACTGATACAGCAAACAACTAACAACTTCACTAGCGACTACCTGGACCCTAAAGAACCTCCCNNGATTTCCTTATATAGGTCCTTAAAAATGTGGGTTCCTTGGGGTCTAGGTACTCAATACAATTTGCGATCGTCTTCAAGCATATATCGGTGATGAGCCAAACCGACACCATCCTGGACCCTAAACTTCCCTAGCCCGATACCCAAAACTAACTCTAATGTAGGGGCCTCAATAATTACCTATATTATTTGGGGGGGGGGGGGTCCTGACTATATTCATGCTAGAAAGGACACAAAATCCATATTATAATTATTAAGGGCCCCTAATTTAGAACCATTCGCCCCACTGCGCCTGCAGCAATGCAGAGACCATGGACCCAGGATCGCCCCCCAGTCGTGTCAGGGTGAGCAACAAGGCCGCCTGACCCACGTGCTTCAAGGCGAGGGTTGAAGGGAAGCCCGCGCTGCAGGCTTCGGAATATTTGCGGGTGTATAGACGATATGAGAAGTCTAGGGTCCAAGTTGGGGGTCTAGTGTGGGGTATATGCAGCTTCAGAGGTTGTGGCAGAGGTGTTTTCGGGGTTGTACAATGTGGGGTTGACGGCTCGTGCATGCTTTGACGCTTCTGAACACTATACATAGATACATCAGGTTCATCGTTCCGAACGCCATCGTCATCGTCATCACCAAGAAACATGACACATCACGGTACGAAAGGGTCCCTGATAATTGGAACGGGCTTTGTGATAAATCAGGTAGCAGAGTTGTAGAGTTATAGTAGCCGTCTTTGCCATCATGCTGTATCATCGTGAGTGGCATCGGTTTCACAATGATACCATCGTGCCCTTTGCGTTCCTCAGTCCAGACGAGGATTTTGCAGCCACTACCACATTCAACTAAATGGAAACCAAGAGGCAGCACCAGAATTAATTGGCCCAGCAGATCCAAAACCCCTAACCCTAAACCCGCCCACCACCCGTAAACCCTAAACCCTAAACCCCCTAAACCCTCTGAACCCCTCTCCTTCTCTACTTAGGAGTGCCAAAGAGACCTTGACAGGCTCTGCTGGCATGACATTTTTGAGGCCGGTCCCCGAGCCTGAGGCCTGAGTCGCCCAGCCTAGAGGCTTTTTTTTTCTTAGGGATTAGGGTTTAGGGTTTAGAGTTTAGAGCTTAGGGTTTAGAAGGTTTTTGTTGTTTTCTTCGCCTCAGGGTCTAGGGTTTAGGGTATTGTAGTTCCTTTTTGGGGAATAGCTTGTAGGATCTTAAATATAAACCACAAAACGGAGCTGCAATGGAGCCTGAAGGTAGTGTACATTCATAAGCCCTAAACCCAAGGCCCCAGCGGCAATCTCCTGCGCTTCAGGCCATGTACGCTAGTTTAGGGTTTAGGGGCTAGCCCTAAACCCTAAAACCCGGCCTTACGTTTCCAGTACTTCTCCGTCGCACCAGGGCTGCATGCCATGGACCGGAGGACTAATCGTAGGCTCTTCCGATCCTGGCAAACACAAGAGCTTGGGTCTTGTGCACTTGAGGGCTTAAGGTTCCCCTTCTTCCGGAGCCGTACCCAGAGAACCCAATACCCCTTAATTAAGGAATATACCTTAAACTATAAGGGCCTTAATAATATGGTTTAAGGTATATTCCTTAATTAAGGGGTATTGGGTTCTCTGGGTAATATCCTAATGCCTGTCGACTCAGATCTTTGGGTTCGCAAGCTGACAATAGACTTCTTCTGTCCCTGGGCTCAACATCTCGGAAGAAGCTGCTCTGCAGGAGGAGTGTTAGGTTTGAGCGGTTGCGGCTTTTTGAGTCCAGACGGCCAGGTTGGGTTGCGATTTAATGTAGGGGCCTTAATAATTGGAATAGGGTTTTGGGGGGGTGTGTTATACTATAAGTATAAGGAGCCCCTCAAAATAGTGTTGGTAATAAATCAGGCCCCTATAGTAGGCGAGCGTCGCTCTCTTCGACAACGGCTCGTCGAAGAAGGCCCCAAACCATCTCCGCCGGCTGCGACAAGCTTGTCCCGGAGTACACCTTGGCAAAATGATCTGGCATTAAATACACTTCATGATATGGTATTATATTATCATGCTATATCATAATCTGGCCCTGTTTTTCTCCAAGCACATCCACGCACCCACAGGGTACCCATGTGCCGTCTGTCTGCTATGCATAGGCATTTTGGCGGTTCATGCACTGGTGCACGCCGCTAGCCGCACGCATTTCTCTGGCAAGGTTAAACATACTGCTTTGGAAGCGCGGCTGCCCAACATTCGCCAACATGATGCTTACAAGAAGGGCCTGGCGCCTGAGCAAAAATCACAAAACTGCAGCCCACACCTCCGAGTTACTCTTGGAACTATAAAGCAGCATGCCTTAACACGGCGAAAAGTTACAATTTGGCATTTGTCGTTTCTTTAGGGATGCACCCACCGCAGACGCCCTTGCACTTTAACTGACAAAGGCATCCGCAGAGGGATTTGCAACAAAAAACAAGCTGGATCACCAAAAGCAGCAGCAAAATGATCTTGAAAACACTGCATGCAGACATGCTTTCACTTGTAGGGTCACGCAGAAGTGGTCTCTAAGCATCATGTGCAAGTAGCTGCCTTGGTGCTGTGCTCGCGTTGCGCTAGAGATGGGCCCTGCCGGTTTTTGCCACAGCGAGGGCCGCGGAGGGTCGTGCCGCAAGATGTACAAGCTGCTGGTGCAGGCCTTGATCTAAGACAAAATGTGCTGGATGTGGCATGTGTGCCCTAGAAGATTTCCACTGTAGCAGCACGTGCCTCGTCTTAAACTGCTGGAGCCATTGAAAATGCTGATCGCGTCTCAAATCGTCTCACAAGCTAAGCCAAACAGATGTACTGCAGGTACTCACAAAAGTGGTCGATGCAGTGCTCTGAGTCATCACCGATGCATCTGGGGAGGAATCCTCTTGGTCCATTTTGGAAGGAAGCGTCCAGGAGTCCAATGAGATCGGGAAGTCATTTAGAAGAAGGTTGACACTTGGGCGCCGCGAGTTGGGGAAGTCCTTCCCATCCGGATAAGTACCCAAGAGCTCCTGGCTTGTAGCTGTGGGACCCTTACAAGTATTTGTGAATAGGTGCTTCTGTAGGAACCACAAAGGAAAACCACATAAAGCTTCCCAACGTATCACCTAGGTTCCCTTGAGTGCAGCCCAGGTGGTGGACGGAATGGCAAGGACGGTGAGGAGAGCATTGGGCCCTCCAGGCCCAAGGAGTCCACCACGGTGTAGGAGGGCGGCATCAAAGAGGGCACCGGAAGATCCAGGGGCTGAGGGCTGGCGACCTTCTGGGGCTTAGCATTCGTATGAACAAACCGGCAAGATTGACCTTTCGAGCAGAAGCCGTTCTTGGAGAACTCGAAGCATGGCTTTGGGCTCGGGCGCAACTCTCCGTTGCCATGGGCGAAAGTGCAGTTCTCCCCCATCTTGCACTCGTTCCTGCAAGCCCGCTGACCCGAGATGAAACTGCTCCGCGTTCAGGTTACTCTGTCTGCTTTATACTTTAACAAGAATGAAAAGCGATTCGTACGGCAAGCCCAGGTTCGTCCGCCAGAACTTGCACATGCGAGTGAACTGCACGGCTTTCTTCTGCTCGGCCTTGGTCATAATGTCAGATCCAAGCTGCGTCTTCTGAGTAGTCTACGGAAGCTAGGTCAATCCTTGATGCCAGTGGCTGCAGAAGAAAGTAAGCGTTCTGCACTTCTGGTGCCGTGCTGCAAATCGCACACAGAAAGCACAAGAATAGCCTGTTCGAAAGCTGAAAACATCTCACCTTCCACCGTCTCTGACAACAAATCGCTGCTGGGCACAACAGTTTCAGCTGACCATCGCACTTACGCACAGGTGGTCCGCAAAGAACAGGAGCTATATAGGGGCCTTAATAATTCGAACAGGGCTGTGGGGTATAAATATATGCTATACGCATAATAAGGAGCCCAACATGGTGTTGGCAATCAGATGTAGGCCCATATATTGACATATCCCTTAATTGGGTGGTTGTCAAAATTATGGTCCCTTTTTGGGAACCCTAAATAATAGGTGCCGTATTATAATAAGGACCCAAAAAGGGACCATAACTTTGACAACCACCCTTAATTATAGGAATGCACCAGAGACTATATGGTGGGATCCCTGATATGATGTGTGGTCTCTTCCTTAGTTAAGGGATATTGGAAGGTCTGGGCATTCACACGCTTGCATGGAAAGCGTCGGCTCTGGTTTCACTTTCGCCCGACTTTTTGCGTCACACCATTGAGCACACAAGCCGCCTCCTCTTCAAATCGATGTCCAAGATTTTTACCTTGGAGGCGGATTTGCGGTGATTGAGGATGGCATGCAGATTTCTCGCGGCAGGCCAGGAAAAGAATGTAGACGACATACATGCTGCTTCACACATTTACCGGACGTGGGTGTGCAGTCGTGTGAAGAATGGAAGTACACGACTTGAATACTTGGGGGTTATGCTTAGGGTTTGGGGAGTCTTCGGAGAACACGAAGATGTTTGGCGACATAGCAGAAAGCAATGTTCCTTAAGACGACCATACTACTTCTATTTCTTCAATATGATTTACAAAAACCTGGTGCCAACCGGTTAGAGTGACCTGGACTTCCTGGCCGACCTCGACGATCTCCGCCGGATCCTCCACGGGCATATCCGACATCCTTGAGACATTCACCTGACCGCGCTATACGGGTTGCCACGACGGTACTGCAACGGTTCCTGAAGGTTACTTCAAGCGTACTATATGTCCGACATCTTTGAGACAATCACCTGACGCAAGACGATGTGAGGCTAGCATTCAGTAAACAGGCTTGTCGCAGTGACAAACCGACACATAAAGAGCTTCAAACTTAGGATTTAATAGGGCTCAAATTAGGCAGCGTTTCAACCCCAAACCCTAAACCCTAAACACAAGCCATCCTCATCCTGAAACTGCAGGTCCTATACCCTTACACCCTCAACAGCAAGTCGCGTCACGAAGTCGTAGCGGTTCCTGTCTGTGGTATGTCGCAAAACAAGTGGATGCAAGGTGGCTCTCGTGAGCTCTGCGCTGATGTAATGTAGGATCCTGATTCAGAAATGCCTGGTGGTCAAACCCCCGAAATACGAGGATCCAAACGAAGAGCGCTAACACTGGCCCTAAACCCTAAACCCTAAAACACACAAACCAAAGGATGCTAGCCTGAACAGCCCGAAGCCCCAAACTCTCATGACTCGAATTCCTAAGCCATATGTACAACACCGGCCTGAATGCCTAAAACCAAAATATTGTACACCCGTGCCTAATTTAAGGGCCTCAATAGCTAGAACAAGGCTTAGGGGCATGATTACATCAAGGAACCCCCAGAAAGAATAGTGGTAATTTTTTTCCAGCCACTAGATCAGGTGCTTCTGGCTTGAATGCTCTGGCTTTGGGGTTTATTGGGCTTGGGAATCAAAAGGGCTAGGCGACCCTTGGCCTTCCAACAATGCCCGAAGCTCTAAACCCAAAGCCCTAAACCCTTTTTTTTGAACCCAGACTCTGTAAACCCTAAACTCTTTTTTTGAACCCAGACTCTGTATACCCTAAACCCTTTTGAACGAGGTCTCTCTGAAGTGCCTCTAACAGTATGGTTTCATCGATCTCTCTAGCTATACCCTAAACCCTAAACCCCAAACCAAAGAGCCGGAAGCCCCAAGTTCAAGAGATCACCAACCCGCATTCGAGTCCTAAGCCCGCTGCCTTATGCCTGAACCTCCAGACCCTAAATCGGCCAAAATCCTGAACCCTAAGCCAAACCCCTAACCCCCTAAACCCGAACTCCTAAATTAAAAACCTCAACCCTAAACCCCAAAAGCCTTAAATCCTCAAATGCCAAACACTGCATTGGTGGGGCCTGCCCCTCGACCGTAACATCTAAGATGCCGGGATGGTGGACGCGAAGAAACGCCTCGTAATGGCGAGTCACGGTTCCGTGACTCCAAGGGTAATGCAAGGAGGTATGGAGATAGCTGAGGCTGAGGTAGCATAAGGGCACTAAAATTTTATCAGCTTTTGGGTTGACAGTTTGGTGCTTAGCGTCGCAAGGTCCGAACCGAGTCTCGCAATAGACCATATCGAAAAGGAACACGTCGAACAATGAACAAGCAAGTGCATGATTGTGTGCATGTAGGTATTTTCGCTGTAACATGTAAGCCATGAAAAAATACGTATATAACTAATGCATCACATTCCCGAACTAGTTAAGAAACTGAGAAACTAATTAGTTCATTAACTCAGCCATTCGTTTTGAATAATGCGCCAGCAGATCACTTTGTATTTCCAACTAGTTTCTCACTTACTTACTTATGTACTTATCTGCGTGCTTACTTACTTACTTGCCTAGTGAGTGAGTGAGTGAGTGAGTGAGTGAGTGAGTGAGTGAGTGAGTGAGTGATTGAGCGAGTGAGTGAATGAGCGAGTGGGTGAGTGAGTGGAGTGAGTGAGGGAGTTCACCAATGCACTAATGAAATATGAAATGATCTATGTGGGCTCAGCCTTACATGCGTGTTGGTTGTACCAACTCCTTACTAGATCCCGTGATTATTCAACTAGTCTTTGATTCTCAGTAGGGAGGCACGGGGGATCTCAAACCGTTAAGGGATTCAAAGCATAAGGCTTTACGTGACTTCCCCCTAAACCCTAAACCCTATAAACCCTAAACCCTAAACCCTAAACCTTAAACCCCAAAACCCTAAACCCTTGCGGTGCTGGGGTCCGGGGCACTTGGGGCCCACAAGGTGGAGGAGACCTGCCGGGAGAGATCTAGAGATCGCTATTCCTAGGATTTGGGGTTTAGGGTTTAGGGTTAAGGGAGAGATCTAGGAAAGCAGACACACACCGCACTGTAAGCAACCCTTGAACAAATCGAAACGACCTAAATTCCCTCCAAAACCGCTGAAGCTACCCTTCCTCAGCATGAACCGACATCAAGAAAGGATCTCTACACCCTAAACCCTAAACCCTAAACTCTAAACCCTAAACCCTAAACTCTAAACCCTAAACCCTAAACCCTAAACCCTAAACTCTAAACCCTAAACTCCTGTCCTCGGAGCGCGTCGTCCGCTCGACGTCGGCTTCGAGCCATCGGTCGCGGGGAACGTTGTGAAAGAGGCCGAGGTTGGCTTGATCGGCCTCTGTGCTCTCTTGTTTAGGGTTTAGGGTTTAGGGTTTAGGGTTTGGGGTTTAGGGTTTAGGGTTTAGGGTTTAGGGTTTGGGGTTTAGGGTTTAGGGTTTAGGGTTCAGTGTTTGGCTTTAGGGTTTGAGTTTCAGTGCTTGGGTTTAGGGTCGAGGGTTTGGGTGTGGGGTGGTGATATGACGTGACACAGGTATTATAAACCAGGATAGCCTTAAGATGGACCCTTTCGGTTTTAGGGTCTATAGCCTTTATAGGGTATAAGGATAACCTTACTATGCACCCTGAAAGGAACCCTTACAGTAATTTTAAACCCTAAACCCTAAACCCTAACCCCTAAACCCTAAACCCTAAACCCCTAAACCCCTAAACCTTAAAACTCTCAAGAGCTGAAACACTACAACCCTAAACCCCTAAACCCATTACAGGCATCCTTC